TGGTCGCAAAGGCGACCGTGAAGGGCTTTGATAAGCCACGGAAAATCTTTATCAATTCTGGTGCGTCGGGCAATCACGCTCGACACTCCACGATAGAAGGAGGTCAGCTGCATGCTGAAGTGCTGGAAGCGCGGTTGAGTGACACCGTCACTGTTCGCTTAGCGATGGGGACTTGTGTCACTGTGACGATGTTCCCTGTGGACCTCGGTGTCAAGTCCCTTGACTTCGATAGCGTTGAACGCTGTCTAGGCTTAGACTTGGATGAAAAATATTACCTTATCCTTGGTATGGTATGGTTGGAACACCATGAGCCATAATTTTATTAATTAGTGGTCAAAGACCTTGGTCGCTACGCGCACGTCTCCTGGTGGAGCTTTGGTAAGTCATGCCTAGAAAGCAGATGCGCTATTGGCGCGGGCACTGGAACGGAGCGGTCAATGTGCTAGATATCGGAGTATCCGAATTGTTCAACACCGAAGGTGTATTGGACAAGAGTCTCGAACGTGGCTTGCGGGCTGAACGTGGAGTGGCACGTGACCCACTGAGCGCTTTTCAAGTATTTGAGTAGTCGCTGCCATGGTGTCAAATGAGTGGCCAATGACGCGTCGGAAAGGTTCTGTGCTAGAAAATTTGCTGCCAAGAATGGCATGGTTGGTCAAGGGCCGAGGCATGAATGACGAGAGCACGTGGAATGGTACGTCAATTACTGATCACTGCTGACGTTACGAAGCAGTTGCTGCGTACCATGAATGGCATGGTCGGACGAGGTCTGAGGCATTGAGAGCGAGACCCTTGTGACGCGCGAGGAGTGGCTCGTTATCCACCGGAAGATTACTGCGGAAACAGCAGCTCTTCGTCATATGTTGTTAATAACATCAAGGCTCCGATGGGGCAGAGTGTGGGGACACTGGACGACGCTGAGTGCGTGTTTCCACTGGTCTCGATGAGACGTAAAACCTCTATAGAGAGGATACGGCGAAGCTGTATGATATCTGCAAGACGCAGGGCGACGACTCTTACCCAGTGTGTGTCGACCATAGACAACAGTATGACAGGAGTGAAAGACGCCGACGTCACCCTCGAGGCTATTTCTGTGGTGGATGCTCTTCTTGAGCTGTACGAGATGTCCTTTAAAGACCTTGAAAACAGGCAATTTAGTCGAGGTGGTCATTATAAGACCGAACGAGGAGATTAACTCGTCGTCGCTTCTGGATAAAGCTGTCCTAGAATACGAAGAAGGTGCTGATTGCACGAAGTAGATCGTCGATTCGGGAGGATCCTTCAAATACGTATTATCCTTTGATAAAGGAATTACAAGGCGTCGTCTCCAGAAATCCGCCGTCGGTCCTACCTCTGGACCAAGGTGTGCGTCGTGAGATCGACCCGATTTCAGGAAACAAATTCTGCGAAAAACTCCAATAGCCTCTGCCCAAGTAGTAGTGTGACGCCATTAACGTGCGAAGTACGAGGCAGGAATGACGGGTGAGATCAAGTCTCCTTATTCGACACCCACGTTTTGTGTCCGTAAGCCGAACGGCATGTGGCGTATCGTTCACGCTAACAAAAGGCTACGAGCTGCCACCATTCTGGCACAAACACCAATTTCTGGAAAGGATGTCCTCCAGAACAATATGGGTGGCTGTACAAATTACAGCGCACTCAACTAAGTCGATGGCTATTACCATTTGCTCATTAGAGCAAGTGATATTCCGCTGACAGCGGTGAGTACTTCGAGTGGGATACTCTGGGAGTGGCTGATGATGCCCCAAAGGCTGTCAAATGCTCCAACAACATTTAGTCGTAGTTGTGCAGGCCCCATCGGTTGTATGAACAGGAATACTTCGACGACATCTTCGTCCACTGCCGTGCGGGGCACGGGAGGACAGGTGTGGAAAACCGCTTCGTCCATTTGAGAGCGGTGCTCGAGTGCATGCGCACGAATACACTGTATGTTAATGCCGATCAGAGCATCTTTGGCGCTGCAGAAATCCCCATTCAGGGTGCGCCATTGGTAGGCGTGGCCTTCCAGCGGATCTTGCATAGGCTAAGGCTATTGTGGACTGTCCGGTTCCAAAAATCAAAAGGACTTGCGCAAATGACTTGGTCTCGCCAACTACTCGCACAAATATAGCGCAAATTATGTGGAATTGGCACGGCCATTGTCTAAATTTAAGAAGGATAAGGAATATTGTTGGGACGCCGAACATCAGGAGGCTTTTGACAGGGTCAAAGACAGCCTCCATTATGCACCAATATTGGTGTTGCCAGATTCCGATCGTCCTTTTAGTGTCGTTATGACGCTTCGAACTTTGCCATCGGCTGTGCACTACTGCAAGCAGACGTTGAGGGGCGAGATCGGGTGAACGCGTTTGAATTCCGCCAGCTTAAGGCTGCGGAGGGGAACTACCCAGTCCTCGACAAGCAATTACTTGCAAGAAAGTATGCACTTGTCGAGTTCAGGGTGCAGCTGCTTGGATCTATGTCATTTGTGATCTACACAGATCATGCGTCATAATGCACTTCGACTCAGTCGCCTCACTTCTCGCAGAGGATGGCCACATTCTTCGCAGAATATATCGTCGTGGTGAATTATAATCCAGGAACGTAAAATTCTCGAGCTCATCGTTGCCGCGCAAGCCGGATCATGAGCTTGCTCATGTCGCGACGGTGACGTCGTCAGTGACGGATTTAATCCGCGCCGCATACGCGGGTGATAGTATGTGTGTAGTGCTGCTACAGGCACTCGGGATCAAGGAGTTTAGAAACTCGGACTAGAAACTGTCGGCGCGATGGAGCGCATGGTTGCACCGATATTCGTTGAGTAACGACTTGCTGTATTATAGCACTGATCAACGGATACGCCACGAATTGTGGTTCCTCACGATGAGAAATTGAAATATCGTATATTTCTATAAGGCCCACGACACTCTTCTTAGCGGTCATCTCGGTCGTGAGACGACGTATAGCTCGGTGAGTTGGCACTACTAGTGGCCCAAGCTGTACAAGTGGACGAGCACATATGTGCACACGTGTGAGACGCGTCAGAGGCTTCGAATGCGGTGGCGCCGCTGGTCAGTTTACCGGTACCCTCCGGCTGTAAGCAGTCCTTGAGTATGCACTTTGTGTTTGGCCTGCCGAAGGACTCGGCTGGTAACACGGGTGTGGTGGTCTCTGTGAACCATTTGAGCAAGATGGTTCATACCCGCTGACGCCGTCATCCCCATGGATCAGGGCTTGGTGGGGGAGGAAAAGCCAAACGGCTATCTGATGTCAGCCTCACCATGCGTAAAGAAGTCAAAGACTTCATGTCTTCTGAACTGAGTGTCTTACGATATGTTCGCGATGTGATGGCTGAGTGCTACGACATGCAGAAGGAATATGCAGATGGAAAAGGAAGAAAAAATGCTGAAAACATTAAGGTCGAAGACCTGGTTTTATCAAACGCTAAAAACTATCCAACACATCGCAAAACATATAGACGAGCCTTTAGCACATCTTTCTGTAGCTTGTTTTGTTTTTCAATCTCGATGTGAAAATCTTCATTTCATACAATTACACAAAAGACAACAAAATCTGATCGATTGTCCTCAGCTCTTTTGAGTCTCTGTCAAAATGCTGAAGTCGTATTTTCTCTCATTTTTTACATAACGTTATCTGAGTCGGCATCAGGGACCAGTAGCTCCACACAAATGTCACAATTGCGGTGAAGTCTCACTCATCAGGAACTTGATAATCAGCTTTTTCGTTAGCACTAATAAAACTTGCGTGGATTTCGCCAACTTTAGCTGAGGTGTGAACACCATTACCCGGTAGTGAAAACTGCAAGTTAGCGGCTCTCGTCTGATCTAACTTCGTTCGTGCTGCGAGCGTGCTAAAATGTGTTACTTTGTATGATCGTCGGGATAAGGTTCATTAGCAGTTCGTAATCTGAATTTGCGCATCTGTTTAGGCCAATTAACATCAACATCAACATCAACCAACTAGTATGCGCGCAGCACGTCAGATATCAGTCCATAACAGTTTACTGGACACGTTGAAATACGAGTCACAATCCTGAAAGGCGTTAAGCATTCCACCGGTATCCACTGCTATCGGGCAGTCAAGGTCTTTCCACCGGATGATTTTTGACACAGTATACGCGGTTTCCTCTTTGCTAGTCAATCTCAGTCATGAACTTTTTATCTAAAGGTGTAAAGGTGATGGCTACGGTCTTGTGAACGTTTACTGATGCTGAGCCCAACCATAGAGCCAACAAACATACTGGAGTGGCTCAAGCAGGCTTAGCCCGGGCTTGGATATCCTTCTGGCCCATAACATTTGGTTGGATTTTTTCTAATTTTTTTAATTTCGAACATTCAGCCTTAATTTTTTATCATTCGGAACGCGGACTTAAGGGCTCTTTCAGGTTGGTTTTGCTGTGGACATTGTAGACGTCAGGTCTAAATTACATGACTTGAAGAGTTTTCTCAGGTTTGACCAAAAAAATTTGTACTGTACGTTCACAAATACAGAGTTGATTTTTTTCTATCAACCCTTTGCTTGATAACGTAAATTTCCAATGCATGATCTTGTGGAGAAAAATACTTTTCAAGCTATGTCTGAATCATATCAGACTTGCTTAATTACGTTCAGAGATGTTTTCGAATACAATGAAGTGTCAAAGTTAGCTCATTTTAGCACTTCTGCAGGCAATGGGTGGTTACATAATAATTAACTACTCATCTAATGATTCACACCTTACTAGTACAAAAAGAGCAAGAACTGAGTTATGCTTGACATACCTTTCCTTTTCGTGTGCTCTTCCATGAAACGCCCAATTCGACGTTTTTTTATTGCTTTTACAGCTCAACCATACATTATCAGTAAGCTAGAAATACGTCTGGCCGTTGCGGTGGGCACATTCCCACGTCCACGATGGCCCGCTCAATCTACTTCATTTAGCCTTTTCACTTCAAGATCTGCATCCTTGTCACGCCAACTTTGATTCTCCACTTGTCGCGATGAAGTCTGTTGCTTTTCTATCACTGGTGACGCTGACCGCGAGTGTAGTCGCAGATACCAAATCAACCACATTTCCAGGTCGCTGTGAGACGACCAAAGACTGTTTAACATATGGATCTAACTACGCTTGTATCTCCGTTGATACAAGTGTTGCGGGACTGGAGCGACTAAGTATGTGCATTCCGGGTGCTCAAGTGTGTAGTGGTCGCATCGCTGGTCTCTGTCCAACTTTTACAACTTGGCCATCAAAGTATCGCGTCATTCAGCCAATTTGCGCCTTCGTCGAGGTCGATAATTGTGACGAGATGTATAACGTGACTATAAGTTCTCATGCTGGAAGTAATGGCACTGTCGATGATGACACTGATGTATCTATTAGCTCTGCTAATGGTACTGGTACGGTTCAATGTTACCAACGGAACTTTACAGTCAATAACGACTATGTCGTGGTGAATGGCATTTATCAGTGTCTTGACAAGGCCAAATTTGTCAATCAAAACGGTGGTCACATCAAGAACATTACCGACACGGTAGTCGAGCAATGCGGATGGAATGTTACAACCCATACACTTTGCAGCGGCCAAGGAACTTGTTCGCCTCTTGTAGATTTTGCTCAGGATTATGAGTGCAAATGTAACGCTGGCTACAATTCTTCCGATCATTGCTTTGCGGTGGTTTCAAATGAATGTAGCAGTGTTGCGCAATGCGGAACTAAAGGAATGTGCAGTTTTGAGAAAGGAACCACAACTGGTGAGTGCGCTTGTGAAGTTGGGGCGAAGGGCAACCAATGTTTGCAGTGTGATGCTTCAGCTAGCTCTGAAGTTGTGTGCAATGGACACGGAACATGTGGTACTAACGGCAGATGCTCGTGCTCTCAAGGCTACAACGGAACTTTCTGCGGTGATTCAACAGGTAGCAAGACTTCGTCTACTTCCCCATCGGAGGCGACGTCTGTGGGAATGGCTACGATAACCGTTATTGCTGCAGGTCTGTTTATGGCTACTATTATATAGAGTTCGTAATATAGAATAATTTGATGAGAAACGATAGTAATTACTCAATTTACGGTATTGTATACAAGCACAAGTCTTAACATAGTGATTTTTCAAAACAATAATTGGCAGCAGCTTGCACATCTCCTTTCTTTTTCTGCAATGCCTCGACTGCAAGCTCACGTGGAAAGCCCACATCGAGTAGCTGTTGCACCCGTTTTGACCTCCGAAATCGAATCACAAGGGGACGTGTTTGAGCTTTGATCACTTTCAGAGCTCGATCGACCTGGTAATGCTGAAGCGGATGGCCGTTCGCCTGCAGTACAGTGTCAAAAAGACCGATTTGACCACATTTCTCGGCACTGAATAAGCCACCATTGGCCCCGCGTGGAAAGCTGGTCACGCACAACTCGTTGTCTATCTTCTGTAAGTACAATCCAAGCAGTAGTGCCTCGCCAAAGCGCACATCGTATTCATCTTCACCTAATGGCGCGTTCATAGAGATGGAGCGGGGACACATAGCGATAGCCGCTGAAACGGGTGTAATGTTTTGTGATATGGAGCTACGACGACTCAGTTCTTCCAGCTCAACATCGATATTATATTCCAACTCGGTTATCGCATGTGTTCCCCGTCCACTTGACAATGTCGCTAGTTCTTCATCAACTCTGTCCAGTTCTCCATCATCTTGTCGCCGTGAAGATGGCATATCATTATCCGAGGATTCTTCTCTGATCGACGGTGGCATCATGTCACCCGGCTGAGAACTGATAGACAAGCTTTTTTGACGCTCATCACTCAGTGAGCCATCATTTACAAATATACCTACAGACGAGTCTTTTCGGTGATCAGGCAGCTCGTAAAACAGCAATACCGGCTGAAATCGGCCCTTCAAACACTCAGATACGACATTACTCCAACAACCCATCTCAAGTACCCGCGAATCATCGAAAAGCAACCACATCTTGTGGGCCGTGCTATAAAATACAGCTACATAATGGCGCCCGTAGTAGCAAACAAACCCTCGCAAGCGGTACGTGGTACGCAAGCCACCATTCTTGAATCGAATTACCGGTCCCGCAGCATCAAAGCATTTGGCCAAATCTACACGGGTGCCAATATTTTCCATCACCCCCTGCACCTGTTCTTTCGTTGCACTCTGCGTGGCCCAAAGGATGGAAACTGCAAACACCATGGGAAAACGGTGGATCACCCGCTCCTTCCCAAGCTTACCATTACAGCCCACTTCCTCACACTTTGATGCTACATCTGTCTCTTGAGCTGTCAGCCGACGGAACATGTGTTCCGTCGATTCGTACTTGCAGGCATACAAGTCGCTCGCATATGTAGAATATACAAGGTTTGAGTACAAATTATACGGTGAGCTGTGGCTGCACTTTCCACATACATAGCGATCGTAAATCTGGTGTGAAAAGACCAAATGCGGGATACTATTATCATCAAAAACAGCTTGCGGCTTCTCTTCAGACGTTTCAGCACTTACGAGCCGAACTAGCGACTTAACCATCATCGTTGTCTTTTGTGTCTCTTCAGTTTCTGTTGCGTCTGTCTGCTGATGCATCAGATTCAATAAAGCTAGCAGTGTTTCCTCGGCATCGTACATCGCTCCTTCCTGAAAATTCTTGTCCGCCGCGTATAGCACACTCAAACCCTTACGAATAGCGCGTGAATGAAGCACTCCACTCGAAGTATCATCATATTCCATCAGCATCGATTTGAGTGCTCGTAACACATTTGATTCGACTGAGCGCGACTCATCTTTTACCTCCACATGCAGCAAGAAATGCCGCATAGATGTCAAGTGCCAAAAACTTTGAATGACTACATTCAAAAAACAATTATTCTCGCCCGATGCATTTAATAGCCCACGATGCACTGATGCTCCTTTGACCCACAAATTCGCTTCTTTTTTGCTAGTAACAAATAACGCGGCAGCATCTGATGGTGACTCCGAGCTCTGATCAGTTTCACCGAGCGAAGGTGTTGACTGAGTGCTTGACGGTAACTCTTCCTCCCCACGACTCGTCAGGACTCTGAGATGATGAATCCAGTCACTAGATGAAGTCGCAGTCATTCCATCAATCTCCAATACCTTGTCTGCATGATCATCTACCTGCTTTACGCTCACTAAAAAAGCAAAGCGGCGGCCATCCCAAGGTGCGACACCAAGTACCTTGTAACATCGCATCGGCTTGACTAGGCCAGACTGTAAATCATCTGTACTGGGCTGAAATTTGAACGTACTGAGCTGCCTTGTATCACTAGTCAAGATGCAATAGCGCATATGCCTTGGACGTACGTTCACCATACTTCGTGTCTTTAAATTAAGCCATCCACGGTGTATTACATCGCCAAAGGCAGACTTGAGAGGACCATTGTCGCTGGACAGCGGAGTGGGTTCAAGCACGGGAGGCTGCATGACCAACCGCTTTGACTTGATCATCACATACACCAAAATCACAGAGACAAAATGTTATAGACTTATATAAGTACATGTTCGGAGAATCATTTACCGTGGAGGAAGAGGGTAGTGAGGTGGGGGCTTAGGCAGAGAAGTTGCCCTAAGTGCCGTCCCGTCGTTAAACGTGTTTTACAATTCAAAGTGAGTTCTGATTGGTGAAAATATATAAACTAACTGACTCAGCACAACAACCCTATCCGTGCTAACGACAGTGCTGGAACAAGTTGTGATAGCCGTAAAGCCAGTCACGTACTTTTTGTCCAATGCTAGCACAGTGAAGATTTTGCAGGAATGCTCAATCAATTCATGACTACAGTGGATCAAGATTGCGGATACTGCGCCGCAGATTCAATTGACTACGTTCGTGTGGCTGGATTAAAAAAAACAACGTTAAGAAACTTGACTAGCGTAGAAGCTGCAGACAATGCTATGACGTACCGAGTGCCGCTTTCTTCTATGTGTGGAATGACTGTCATATCTTCGCCTCTTGAACGAATCAACACTGTTACGTCCAGCCCGTCGAGGCTGAAGATTGTTATTGTCAGCATCATATTCTTCGTCTGTGTCACCTACAGGATCGTTTTCGATACTAGCATCAGACAAGTCTTCCTCACAATCACTCTCAGCTGAGATTTTAACAAGATCTTCTCCTTCTAAACCATCAAGTTTTGCGTAATTGACTAGTTGACGATTGCGCAGCGAACGTCGGCCCAAATCTTTCGCCTTTTCAGATGAATCAAATAATTCAGTGCAAGCAAGGTCATGTTGCCAGCGCTCCTTTCTTTTATTCTTCTCTTGTTGACGAAAAAGCTTCTTAAGGGCACCGCGAGACAACACTTGCCATAACTGCAGCTCCGCCGAATTTACAGAAAGCGATAATTGCTGAACTAGCACTTCAATCGATTCAAGATCGTTGCAAACTGTTTCCCAATCTGTCCCGCCTTCTATCAAACAACGACACACCCATACGGCTGCGTTGGACACCGTCGCGGCGTCTTCCAAAAGAAAGTAGCAACGACCTGCAGCATCCATTCCAATTTG